TTGTCCTTTGTTTTTGTTTATTGTGAATTTTTTGTCGTTTTCCTTGTCACTTTTTGGGCGCATTTTTAATGGATTTTTGTCGACTTTTTTGTATCGATTCTCTTAACATTTTTTGTCACTTCTGTTAGTCATATTTTTTTCGCATTTTCTGTAGTTTATTTTATCGCGTTTTTTTAATAAAAATTTTATTACAAAAACTCATTTGAAACTTATCTTTGATATTTCACACCTATTTTTATTTTGACTTTCAAGGGTCATCATAACCCCTAAGTTAGGAAAAAGTAGGCATTCTGTTTTCATCCGACAAGAAATCCGTCAGTTTTTAATTTCCTTTTTTTGCCACTTTTTATAGTCGCCTGTTTAAAAAAATTGTATCCTCTACTTTTGTAGTCTTCTGTGATTTTTTTTGTCGTTCTTTACGTACCGGTTTTTTAGTCTTTTTAGTCAACTTTTTCCCCTGTTTTTGCTTTTTTGTCGCCTTTGTTCTAAATTGTTTGTCTTACTTCATTGTCTTTTTGTTGCATTTTTTATGACGTTTTTTGACTCCGCTCCGTTAGTCGCATTTTTATGATCTTTTTTGTCATTTTCGTCAAACTTCGTAGTCACCCTTTTTCGCATTCCGTAATACACTAATCAAAATTTGTCTGTTCATCTTTACCAATAATTTGATGACGTCACCTCAAAATTGTGCATAGTAAATATTATAAAGTACCATTTTTCTATACTTGTAGTATGTACTTTTTTGTCACTTTTCTTATCGCTTTTTGAATCCGATTTCTGTTTTTTGTCACTTTTTGTAGTTCTGTTTTTTCGGTAATTTTGCTGTTTTTGTCCTTTTCATGGAGTATTTTTTGTTATTTTTTGTGTTCACCCTTGTTTGTTGAATTTCGTTGTCCTCTGGTTTGGCAGCCTTTTGTGTGGACTTTTCGTCCATTTTTGGTCTTCGTTTTTAGTCAATTTTTCTCATTTTTGTGGATTTTTTCTGTTTTTGCTTTTTTAACGCCTTTGTTGTGAACTTTTGTATTTTTTCATGTTGATTTTTTTGTAACCTTTTTTTGAGATTCTCCTCACATTTTTTGTGGAATTGTTTTGTCGCGTTTTTTCGTAATTTGTTGTTACGTTTGTGTCCTTTTTAAAAAGTTTTTGTGTTATCTTTTAACGGTCATTATAACTCCCAAAGTATGAAAAAGTAGGTACTCAGTTTTTGACCGTCTGTAGTCTGTTGGCGATTTTAATAGACAGACAATCTATTTTAGGAATATCGTGTAGATGGTAAAACGCTAATCACAATTTGCCTGATCATCCTCACCAACAATTTGATGACGTCACCTTAAAATTTTGCATAGTAAATGTTATAATATAACATTTTTCTTTACGTGTTTTTATTTTCTTTTGGTAGGTCTTTTGTAGCTTTTTGTAGTCACCTTTTTGTCGCATGTTTGTATGATTTTTTTGTCCTGTTTTCGCATTTTTTTATGATTTTTTTGTCCTGTTTTCGCATTTTTTATCTCCTTTTTGATGAATTTCTTGTCAATTTTTAATTTTCTTCCGTTGCGACTACTCTTATCACTTTTTATTGTCGTTTTTCTTTTTTTGTCACTTTTTATAGTCGCCTTTTTTTAAATTTATTCTCGTCCTCTATTTTTGTAGCCGTCTGTGAATTTTTTGCCGTTTTTTCGGTATTCTTTTTTTGATCTTTTTGAATTCCCTCTTTCCCTTCGTTAATTTTCGAATTAATCCTTTTTTTGTATTTCGTAACACGCTGATCAAAATTTATCTGATGATTCCCACCAATAATTTGATGACGTCACCTCAAAATTGTGCGTAGTAAATGTTAAAAAATAACATTTTTCCATACTTGTTTACTTTCTTTCTTGCGACTTTTCTTTTCGCTTTTGAATCCTTTTTTTGTTTTTTTTTTGTCACTTGATTGCTGTCATACTTTTCGGGAATTTTTTCCTTGTTTTTTTGTCCCTTTTGTACGGCATTTTTATCACTTTTTGTAGTCGCCCTTTTTTGTTTAATTTCTTTGTTCTCTATTTTTGTAGCCTTTTGTGTGAGTTTTTTTGTAGCTCTTTTGGCACTTTTTCTAATTTTTGTGGATTTTTTGTCGACTAATTTTGCTCTTGTCGTTGCATTTGTTTGTAAACTTTTTGTCTTTTTCGTTGCCTTTTGTGTTGCATTTTTTATGACGTTTCTTGACTACTTTTCGTTCGTCGCATTTTTGTGGCCTTTTTGCCATTTTCGTCAATTTTCGTGTTCATCCTTTTTTTTGCATTTCGTAACACGCTGATCAAAATTCGTCTGATGATTCCCACCAATAATTTGATGACGTCACCTCAAAATTGTGCGTAGTAAATGTTAAAAAACAACATTTTCTATACTTGTTTACTTTCTTTTTTGTAACTTTCCTTCTCGCTTTTGGACTGTTTTCTGCTTTTTTTCTCACTTTTTGTAGTCATATTTTTTCGCGGATATTTTCGTTGTTTTTTTATAGTCTTTTTTTGTGAACTTTTTGTCGTTTTTATTGTCTTTTTTTGTTGATTTCTTTGCCTCTTGTGTGGGTTTTTGCAGCTCTTTTGGCACTTTTTCTCATTTTTGTGGATTTTTTGTCCACCACTTTTGCTCTTTTCGTTGCCTTTGTTTGTAAAATTTTTGTCTTTTTCGTTTTTTCTTTTGTGTTGCATTCTTTATGATGTTTCTTGACTACTTCTCGTTCGTTGCATTTTTGTGGCCTTTTTTGTCATTTTCGTCAAGTTTCGTGTTCATCCTTTTTTTGTATTTTGTAACACGCTAATCAAAATTTGTCTGATGATCCCCACCAATAATCTGATGACGTCATCTCAAAATTGTGCGTAGTACATGTTAAAAAATAACATTTTTCTATACTTGTTTACTTTCTTTTTGTGACTTTTCTTCTCGCTTTTAGATTCATTTCCTGTTTTTTTTTTTCTCACTTTTTGTAGTCATATTTTTTCGAGGATGTTTTCGTTGTTTCTTGTCCCTTTCAGATATACGGTATTTTTTATCATTTTTTGTAGTCGCCCTTTTTTGTTGAATTTGTTTGTCCTTTGTTTTTGTAGCTTCTTGTGTAGGTTTTCTGTAGCCCTTTTGGCACTTTTTCTCATTTTTGTGGATTTTTTGTCCACTACTTTTGCTCTTTCCGTTGCCTTTGTTTGTGAACTCTTTGTCTTTTTCGTTGTCTTTTGTGTTGCAATCTTTATGATGTTTCTTGACTCCTTTTCGTTAGTCGCATTTTTGTGGCTTTTTTTGTCATTTTCGTCAATTTTCGTATTCATCCTTTTTTTTGCATTTCGTAACACGCTGATCAAAATTTGTCTGATGATCCCCACCAATATTTCGATGACGTCACCTCAAAATTGTGCGTAGTAAATGTTAAAAAATAACATTTTTCTATACTTGTTTACTTTCTTTTTGTGACTTTTCTTCTCACTTTTGGGTCCATTTTCTGTTTCTTTTCCTCACTTTTTGTAGTCATACTTTTTCGCGGATGTTTTCGTTGCTTTTTGTCCCTTTCAGATATATTTCTTTGTAGCCTCTTGTTTGGGCTTTTGCTTTTTTGTCGCTTTTGTTGTGAACTTTTTCTCGTTTTTCATTGTCTTTTTTGTTGATTTTTTTTGTAACATTTTTTTGATATTTTCGTAATCACTTTTTCATTTTTTGTGGAATTGTTTTGCCGCGTTTTTTGTCACTTTTTGTTGCGTTTGTGTCCTCATTAAAAAGTTTTTGCTTCAATTTTTAAAAGTCATCATAATCTCTAAAGAATGAAAAAGTAGATCTCTTATTTGGTCTGTCTGTTGTCTGTTGACAATTTTATTAAATAGACAATTTTACCCTATTTTAGGAATCGTGTAGATGGTAAGGCGCCAACTAAAATTAATCTAATCATTCACACCACCATTTTGATGACGTCACCTCAACATTTTGGTTAGCAAATACTCTTTAAATTTTATAAAATAACATACTCTTGTACTTGCAGCTTATGAATCCGCCTTGATATACCTATAATCACAATTATTTTCCAAAAATTGTTCATACAAACGAACTAATCCAGATTTTTTAAAAAATTATAAAATTTGATTTTGCAATATTTTGTTTATTTTAGGCTAACCACTACAAGTAACACAATATACAGTCGCGGCCAGAAAATCTTGGACATCATTTTTCTGTCACTTTGAAGTTTAAAAAATATATTGTACTGCATTCAGTGTCAGCATTTTCCTAATATCAAAGATGACAAAACTAAAAAAATGAGATTAGAATACTTTAAGGTAAGAACATTTTTGTGACGTGAGAAATATTGCATACAAAAATTTGCAAAATAATTATTATAAAAATCATAGCGGATTCATAAACCACGAGTACAGGAGTATATTATTTCGTAAAATGTAGATAGCGTTAATGACGTAATATGAGCGGAGGTCCTCAAATTGTTAATGAGGGTGATTAGATAATTTTGACAGACAAACTACAGACAGCCAGAAATAGGAGACCACTTTTTTCGTATTCTAGGGATCATGAGACGTCGATTGAAGTATTAAAAAAAAACAATTTCTTAGATAAATTACAGTTCAACATTAACTTCCACATGCACGTTGATATAACAGCCCAAATACTCATTAAAACACACTAAAATCATAATAAACTTGAAACAAAATTTGAAAAAACGTCATCAAGTTTCTAGAGGGGATGAATTCTGAATTGTCAAATTTCACGATAACCTTGTTGCACAATTTTGATTTTCTCTTTCTAAAAATATTCATGCACAATGTTGGATTTACTCAGCAAAAGTTTGATATAACGTCATCGAATTAGCATTCACTGGAAAAGTAAAAATGGACAAAAATGAATAGTTTATTTGAAAAATAACTCTAGACGCATATCATTTCCCCGCCGTCGACTTTACCATTCACCCCTTCAACACGATTTATTCGCATTCCACGAAAAGCAAAAAACTACCCCGCTATTTCTGCCCGCAGCTTACCCCCGCCCCACCAGCCCTCCAACGACCCCCAGCAAGAATCTCAAGACCCCCCCAAAGGCAACGTATGCACGCGATTTCTCTCGACATGCAAGAAGAAAATGTCATGTAAAGCATGCAAGAAGCAGAAAGACGAAAACAAGGACAAAACCAAGAAGATCGACGAAGAGAAGGAAAAAACCGGATGCTTCAACTGCCGGAGGAAGAAACCCGACGTTACCATCAACGTGGAGAACGATCCGAACGAACCCAAGAAGAAGTTGTGGGAGAGGATGAAGTGCTGCGGGAAGAATAAGGTCAGCGATACTACAGGGTGTTTCCCCAGTGGTAAACGAAAAGAGAGCTGGGTTGGAGACAGGAGGGATAGTATACTGAGCGACCCACAGACTGAGAAGTATTTAGGGTGTTGGGAGTGTGAATTGAAAGTAATTGTGGGGTTTCAGGGCGAAGTGTTGTTCGAAAATTGGGTGCAGAAATTTCTTCCGGAAGATGTTCTGTTTGGATAAGTGTAGGAAGAAGAAGCCGAAGATGGACGAGATTGAGGATAGTCGGAGGGCGTCGATGATGAGTAAGAAGAAGAGTTTGACACCGTCGTCAATGCCTGTTGAGGTGCGTATTCTTCCCCAGATTTTTAAAATATATTAATTAACGTAATTTTCAGGACACCAAACCGAAAATTGACGAAAGTCTCGTGGAACACTCGTCTCAAATGAAAGCCGCTATTCCTGTTCTTCCAGTATGTCTGGCATGGTTTTGCCTGGTCATGAATTGCATAGCACCCGGAACCGGTACTTCCCAAACCTACAACCCAAATAAAGTACTAACCCTAAAATTCCAGGTACTATTTTCAGCGGAATGTTTTGTCTCTGCATCGGCAAACCCCGATTTTCCCAAAAAGATGGCGTTCGGGCCCGAATTTGGTCTTTCATTATCAACTTGGTGATAGGTTTTGGTCAATTTTTTACGATATTGTTTTGTTTAGTGGGTTGGGGGTGGTCCATTTGGTGGGGCGTCATTATGGTGAAACTTGCCAGTAAGTTTTGTCAACGTTGTGAAAACCCAACTGATCATGAACCCGTTTCAGGAAAAAACCGAAAAATTAAAGCCTTAGAAGCAAACGAGCAAGAAGGGTCCAGACAAGTGCCAGCCGCCAATCACCACTCTTCCAGAGATCCGGAGCGACGATCTTGAGAAGCGGCTAAAAGCATATCACTTCTTCTGGAAGATTTTTCCTACAATATTTTGTACAAGCTTTTCGCACAAATTATGAAATTTTCGAGTTAGCTGTTAGTTGGAATTTGGAACCAGTTGTTTACTCTTCAGAAATTGTTATCGTTAAAGAGCCATTTTTGCTGGTCAAAAATGTTTTGTAACAAATGTAGATAAGACATAGACGAAATTTATGCAACTTATAAAAATGAAATTGACACTATTTTTTGTAAGGAATAATGTAGAAATGTATTATACATTTTATAGTGCAAGGTGAAGGTTGTTACTAAAATACTAATACGTTTGTATGAAGTGTACAAAGGGTTTTTTCAAAGTATTTAAACACTTCTCGTTCTAATACTTCAACAATGCAATAACTTATAGGTTAGGCACACAATTATAAATTACAGAAATATTTTTCTAACTATGCTAGGAAATGTTAGTGTGTTTAAATACTTTATGTACACTTTTTTAATAAAGATTTATTGTAAATAAAGCAGCATTTTATTTATTTTCAATTGTTGGCAACTCATTCAAATAACTGTCAAATAGCTGTAATGCCAACATTATTATTTTAAAAATAAATTTCATGGCCTACTAAAGGGCCTTTTTGATTACATGGTACGAGTAAACTATTAATAGTGTTAATGTGTGATTGGCATACATTTCAGGCAATTATGTTGGGGCGAATCGTGTAAACATGAAATCTAATTGCACAGCTGAGTGTTAGTGTATTATTAATCTATTAGAATGCTGAAATCCTATCACTGTTATTTTGCATAGCTGTAATTAACAACGTTCTACACTGTTGTTACACGTGTTCTGAATACTTAACCTTAATGGATATTGTTGGTTGCCTAATCACCACAGTAGTAGTTCATTTGTTTTAGTTTAATGTACACGATCCACACTGTTTTCCACAATTTCGTTACCATTACACCACAAACTGGTTATTGTTGTAATAAATTGGTGGTTTAAGTGGTTCCAGATCATAGTTTGGTAACAATTATCATTACGTTTCGGTCAGTTCCTCTCCAATTTATAACACTCATTTCAAAAGTTTTAGCGTCCACTGAATGCGAATAAGTGCGAGGAGTGGAACTATCAGTCATCTACTAATTACTGTGTAATTAGTTTTTTTGTTGTTTGTTAAATAGGTAAAATTGAAATAAAATGGTGAACATCAAAATTGTAAATTGTTTGAAAAATGAAAATATATTGTGATGTGAAAACAAAATGGCGACATGTGTTCCCCGCGACAAAGTGCTAGCTAAATCAAAATGCGAGAAATTTTATTTAAAATCACAAAATTACATAAAACACTACAAAGAGAGTCGAGATAATAAGCTGGGGAAATATTGTTCGGCCATTTGGTGCTCGACTCGTGGTGGTGCATGGTTGGTCGGCTGTTGATGAGTAATCTCTTGGGCGTGGCTTGGTGCACACCGCCCGCTTGGCAGCTGGATGGTGGGAATTGTAATGGCCGATAATTCGGTATTGGCCTTTAGGTACCTAATCGTTTTAAACAGCAGGGTGCCTCAAAAGTTTACAAGTGGAAGGATAAAAGTATCGTTAAGTTTACCTGGACACAGTTCCGAAGTCGGAATTTTCTGGGAGCTTTTTTTGTCTAAATTTAATTTGTTTTATTTATTGTGCAAGTTTTATTACAAATTCTAATAACTACGCAACTAGTTGTAGAACTGACATTGAAATTTTTTGTCAACAGGTGTTCAATTGAAAAAAATCATCAAGTTTGCATACTACTGTAGGTATAGAAATTATGAGGTTAGGTTTGTACCATTCCGTGTTCTCGGATATCACTGATTAAATAATCAGCGCCAACTTGAAGACTTTTTCAGTTGAACACCAGATATATGTTCTTAAATGGAAAAAAGGGGTGAATATGAGGTGTAATTAATTTGAAAGGTCATTGATTATTCTTTTTCTTTTGTAAAAATAACACCTTTGAAAATCTCCTCATTATATTTCCATTTCCACATCTTTTTTCGAAACCTATAGTATATCACTCTTTGAAAACCAAACAACTAAAGCCTGTGTTTTTACTAAATATTTCCTGGTGTTAGGTCCTAATAATGAACCCATACCATATCTCCTACCTTTGACTCAGAAGTCATTAATTATTGTCTTCAAACTTATACAGATCTTCTTTGATTTTGTTCTTCTATGTTACTTGTGTTTTGGTTTCAGCAGAACTGATGATTTTGTAAAATCATGTCATGGAAAGCGTGAATATTTTTTAGAGCTGTAAGAAAAATTAGTCGTTCATTAGTTAAGCCAAGTTAGGTTCAGCCAAGTCAGGGCATGTCAGGTCAGGTCAGGTCAGGTCAGGTCAGGCAGTCAGGTCAATATTTTCCACAACTGAGATAAATTAATCCTTTAGTTATGTCAAGTCAAGTGGATTTATAAACTTGCTGTTGATGTTGAAGTTCCTGCTGACGTTGCTTTTAGAGCTGAAAATTGTCATTTATAAACTCCGTTGCCAAGTTGCCGTTGATAATAACTTTTATGTTCAACTTTTGCAGTATTTAAAAGGGTTGTAGAAGAAAAGTGGAGGATTTAAGTTGATTAGTACAAATTTTTACCATTTTAAGCATGTTTTAAGTTTCTTGTTGTCGAAATAAGTCTGCACATATTAAGAAAAGAAAGAAAAAAATTAGCCCCGCCCACCCGCCCTATCTCAATTGTGATGATTTTTTTTATTCGTCGTGGGCCAAGAGGGCGGAGTTTATCTGCAAAATACTTATTTCTCTACGAAAAATTAAAAAAATGTCTTTGAGTGTCGTGTTGTTGAAAGAATACTAAGTATATTAAGAAAAAAATAAAGCTAAAGATTAAGCACCACCCAGACCCTCCCCGATCTCAATTCTCAATTGTGATGAATTTTTCATTCGTTGTCAGATCGAGGGGCGTGACTTAATTGCAAGATCCATATTTGTCTAGAAGAATGTTTTAACATGTTTTAAGTTTATTGTTCTGAAAAGACTACGTATATTATATTAAGAAAAAAGGCAAAATATACGCCCCGCCCACCCACCCTATCTCAATTGTGATGATTTTTTTTTAATCGTCGAGAGCGGAATTTAATTGCAAAATCTTTAGTATTGCTGTATATTTAATTTTTTAGTTTTTTTATTGCATTTTTATTGTATAAGCAATTATTCAAAGAATACCAAGTATAATAAGAAAAAATTAAAGCCCAAGATTAAGCTCAGCCATACCTGCCCTGATTTAAATAGTAATGAAGTTTTCATTCATTGGCAGACCTAGGGGCGGGGCCTAATTGGAAAATCCATATCTCTTTACAAAAATTTACCATTTTAAACGTGTTTCAGGTTTCTAAGAATAAAACAAAATCATCACAATTGAGATGGGGTGGGTGGGCGGGGTTTATATTTTGCCCTTTATTCTTAATATACATAGTATTCTTTGAACAACACGATACTCAAAAACATATTTTTTATTTCTTGTAACGAAATAAGTGTTTCGCAGTAAAGCTCTGCCCCCTTGGTACACGGCGAATAAAAGAATTCATCACAATTGAGATAGGGCGGGTGGGCGGGCTTAGATTTTGCCTTTTTGTTTTAATATGTGTACACTTCTTTTCACGACATGAAACTTAAAACATGTTTAAAATGGAAAATTTTTATAAGGAAACATTGATTTTGCAATTAGGCTCCGCCCTACAATTGCAAAATCCATATTTTCTTGTAAAAATGTGCCATTTTAACCATGTTCTAAGTTTCTTGTTGTGAAAAGATGGCTATGTATATTAAGAAAAAAAAAAGGCAAAATATAAGCCCCGCCCACCCACCCTATCTCAATTGTGATGATTTTTTTTTAATCGTCGAGAGCCAAAGGAGCGGAATTTAATTGCAAAATCCTTAGTATTTCTGTATAAGCAATTATTCAAAGAATATTATGTATACTTATTAAGAAAAAATTAAAGCCAAAGATTAAGATCAGCCATACCTGCCCTGATGTAAATAGTAATGAAATTTTCATTCGTTGGTAGAGCTAGGGGCGGAGCCTAATTGCAAAATCCGTATTTCTTTACACAACTTTACCATTCTAAACATGTTTCAAGTTTATAAGAATAAAAAAAATCATCACAATTGAGATGGGGTGGGTGGGTGGGGTTTATATAGTGACTTTTATTCTTAATATACATAATATTCGTTGAACAACACGATATTCAAAAACATGTTTTTAATTTCTTGTAAAGAAATAAGTGTTTTGCAGTTAGCTTTGCCCCCTTGGTTCACGGCGAATAAAAAAATTCATCCCAATTGCGACAGGGCGGGTGGACGGGCTTACATTCTGCCTTTTTGTTTTACTATGTGTAGAATTCTTTTCACAAGATGAAACTTAAAACATGTTTAAAATGGAAAATTTGTATAAGGAAATATTTACTTGCAAAAAGGTGCCATTTTAACCATGTTCTAAGTTTCGTGTGTTGTGAAAAGATGGCTGTGTATATTAAGTAAAAAAAAGACAATTTTTTCAATTCTGATGATTTTTTTTTATTCGTCGTAAGGCGAGGGGCGGAGCTTAACTGTAAAATCCTTATTTTTCTACGAGAAATTACCATGTGGAATATGTTCTTAAGTACTACTAAATGTATATATTAATTAAAAAAAGAAAACCAAAAGAGAAGCCCCACCCATCCGTCTCGATCTCAATAGTGATGAATTTTTTATTTGTTGTCAGACCGAGGGGCGGAGCGTAATTATTGCAAAATCGATATTCTATATTCTAGACAGATTTACCATTTTAAACATGTTTTAAGTTTTTTATTGTGAAAAGATGACAACGTCAACGTCAGCGACGAGTTTATAAATCGACTTTTATGTTCAGATAAGTCAGGACAACAGTGGTCAGGTCAGGTAAGGTCAGAATGGGTCAGCATTTTCTAGAACTCAACAGAAATAGGTCTTTCGATTAGATCAAGTCAAGTTAGGTTATGTTCGGCCAAATAAGGTCAGGCCAGGTGAAGTCAGGTAAACATTTTCTAGAACCGAAACAGAAATCAAGGCTTTCAGTTAGGTCACGTTAGGTAAATTTAGGTTCGGTTAAGTCATGGAGGTCAAATCTAGCTTTGCTAAAACTGAAACAGAAATTAGTCTTTCGGTTAGGTCAAGTCAGGTTAGGTCGAACTGCAAAACGGGGAAATGAGACCAGTCACAGCCGGAGTGCTGCAGGGATCGGTGTTAGGTCCACTGTTATGGAACCCGCTTTATGGCATACTGTTACGTTTATGCCTATCGGAGGGGGTGACAACCGTGGTATACGCAGATAATTGAGCCTTAAGAAGTTCAAAGAATATCTGAGAGTTGGAAATTTCCTATGAAAAATCGGAAACGGTCTGTCTCCTGACTGGGAGGAATAGACAAATTCGTGAGTTTTAAAATCAGGCAAACGGAAATTAAAAGTTGATGCCGAGAATTGGTGGCCCTGGGGTAGGTATGTATCATACAAATAAAGATGATTAATTTTTTAATATAACGAAAGTTTGTTTTGTTTTGTACATTCTGAACATAAATTATCCTATATTACGGAACAATCGTATAGATTTTCGAGTAAATTAAGCCAAAAATAAATTCTCGAGAGCGCCATCTGGAAAAAAATCTTTTCGATTTCGGGAAAGGTGAAAAAAAGGTCCAAAATTTCATAAGGTGAAGTATTGAAAAATTTAGCTTTTTTGGAAAATCTGGCTGAAAATTCACTTAAAAAATGTAGGACGGGCTAATTCGAAAAATATAACATGTTAATAGTCCCGGACCAAAATTTTCAAAATGCTCGTTTTCAAATTAAGATTTTTAAAATATTCTTGAATAAGTATTACTGGCACAACTTTTTTTTGTTAAATTACTAAAAAATAAAATATAAAATCTAACATTAAAAAAAGTCATCATTTTCAATTACTTGTTTAATAAACTAAGTATAAACCACCAAAAATTTCGACTTTTGAAAAGTTGAAGCTTTGAAAATAATGTAACAGTTGTGACTTTTTTAAATTGGATCTTCGCGCTTTTGAAAGTTTAAAATTTAAAATTAATTACACAGTTAAAACTGGTTGATATTTAAAAAATCAAGGACAACCATTTTCCAAATATTCAACTTCAACATTCGGAAAAACGGTAGGAATTTTCGAAGAAATGAAACCGAAAAACACTTGTGGAAATCGAAATCAACAAAAGAATATCTTTTTTGCTAAATTTCAAAGGAGCTCAGGAAAAGATCAAAAATTTCGTTTAATGGAAGAAATTTAACTTTTGACAAAGTGAGCTAAAAATTCACAAAAAATTTAGGACATCGATGTGACGAACTAATTAAATCGAAATATATACCGTCCGGATCAAGAATTTCAGAATATTCGGTTTCAAACTCGAAATTTTAAAATATCCAGAAAGTTGTAATTTCTCATTTTGTAGATTACGGAACAAATGTGGGGATTTTCAAAGAAGTGAAACCAAAAAGAAATTCCAGAGGGCGCAATGTACAAAAATGTCTTTTTGGACAATTTCAAGAAATGTCAAAAATTTCATAAGGTTTTGGAAAATTGAGGTTTTTGGAAAAGTTGCCTAAAAATGTACAAAAAATGGTCCCGAATCAAAATTTCCAAATATTTTGTTTCAAATTCACTTTGAGAATGAACATCGCCTTTTTTTAAGTTAAGCTCTCGAGCATTTAAAACTTGAAAATTTCAAATTAATTCAGTAGTTAAAAAGCTGAAGACTGAATTGGAATTTTTAAACTATCCCAAAAATTTCCAATTTTTATTTTGGCAATTCGGAAAAACCGTAAGAATTTTCGAAGAAATGAAGCCGAAGATACTTGGGGAGATCGAAGTAAAAAAAATATATATATATTTTTTCCCTGAATTTCGACGGTGCTCAGGGAAATTTCCAAAACTTCATTTCATGGAAAAATTTGGTTAAGTGGTCCAAAAATTCACAAAAAAATCTAGGACATCGATCTCGTCGAACTAAATCGAAATCTGGATCAAGATTTCCAGAATATTCGGTTTCAAACAGAAATTCTCGAGGGCACAATCAACAAAAAAATCTCTTTGGGCAATTTCGAAAATGGTCAAAAAAGGCAGGCTTTGAGTTTTTTCATCAGACAACCATATTTTCGAAAAAGCGGGATGTGTTGGATTGTACTTTAGGAGGCAGGAAAGTTCTGTCTAAATAAGCTCGGCGCAATTTTTTCAAGTTCATTTTTTATTTAAATTTCACACATAACATTTACACAGTAAATAGATAATAAAATTAAACTTTGAATGAAAGTGGGAAATAAATGTACGGTACGTCACGTTTACAATAGACGACTCGGAAGCCAATATGAAACACCGCCTAGACGCTAGATGGCGCGACAATAGTGACGGGCTGTCACGATTGACGTTTGTTAGGTTAAGATTTTTATCGGTTTACTTAAAATGTAAAATAACATACCTATGATATTGTAACATTTTTAGAATACAAGAAAAGAAATTATTTGATACATCTTTATTATCAAACTAATCGCAACATACAAAAACAAACTACTAATTCTACTTTCCATAATAGAAATTATTTACGTTACCGTACAATTAGAACAACCTGAAAAATAATATTTAGTTATTTCTTCGCTTTCGGTCTTCTTTTTACGGCCACTACCTAAAAAGAGAATCAAATGTCAGGCATGTATTCTTGACATCGACTTATTTTTACCTTTTATATTAAGAACTGATCATCCTCTGCGTCCTGATGGAAAATTTTCACACTATCAGTCGTCAAAACACAAATACCTTGTGATAACATTTTAATCTATGTTATACCTACACAGATGAAAACACAAATCATCTTTTTTTAGCAAAACAAGTTACAATTTTCGCCGAAAATATATAAAAAAAAGGACGAATTTATTTGAACATAAAAAAAAGCCAGCGCTTGTACACAATTCTTGCGAAACACGGAACGATTTTTTCGACATTATTTAACGATCGCGGCGGAAAATGAAACTCCTATTTTGTTGTAAAAGGCTGTTTGCGCTATTTTATCGTCGCTCTGTACAATGCAGCGCTCTAATGTAATCAAATAAATGCTAAATAAACATTTCATAACGTGCCGTCGTAAATACCGTCGCATGAAACATAAATATGGATTTGCCCGGAATAATTTATAAACTGCTGCTGAAAAGCTTTAGTGAATGTCACACGGTGCACATTATCTAAATCCATTAAAATATGGCGAGCATAAAGTGTACCGTACTTACCAGAAATTGCTTTGCGGCCGCGATACGTACACAATTTTGCTCTTTGTGTACATCATGATGCAGTCAAGATTTAACGACTGCCGTTCGTTTTTTGCTTAATTAATCGGTAATTGGATAAAGGAGAGGTAGTGAGGAGCGTTCTTACACTTCAAAAACACATGAATTTATAATGAATTTACTTATTCAGCGATGAATATAACTTATTTACATTATTGAAAAAATGAATTGACTTTTAGTAATACTGAACCTAGCCATTCTATCCTTGTAGATGGTATGTTCCAATATGTACATATAATTTTTAAATTTAATATGAAAAACTGTCTTTGGGAACAATACATGTACAAAAATAAAATGCCAGAAAATATTTGGCATACAATTACGCGTATTATAATACTTTGAATAATTTAAATATATACACACAGCATCGGAAAATACATACATTTACTTAACATTACTTGTGTATTATGTTAACTTGTCATGTCTGTTGCATGTTGATGTATTTTTGAACGTGTAAGCATTGTAGTAGGTATGGTGTGTTTGTCTCCCTCTGTGGTTTAAATAAATCGGCATTTCAACAACACAAAGGGATAATTTATAAGTCGAGATAAATATAACGATCGACCACTTGTCTGCCCCTCTCGTCGAGTCCCGTCTTAATACTGAATCAAACAATCGAATCGGCAGAAATTGCGAGCAGAAGCAACCAAACTGTATGTACAATAGCTCTTAACAATAATTGCAGTCTTGGGGTTATGACGAATTTATCACAGCACAGAGAGAAACAAGGTAGTAAAAGGTATAGAGTTGGAGTAAGAGTGTGATAGACAGAGATAGACTACCACTGCTATAGGCACAGATAATTGACTCAACTAATGTTTTGTTACGACATATATATTATAGAATGCAGTTTCATAGAATACTACAAAATTAATAACACACATGAAGAGCTTGATTTTTCATTGATTATTTGATATGCAATTTCGCCAACCGAAAAGAACACCCATTTCGTATATTTATTTATAGATATGTGTGTATTCAACGGAACCTTTATTATAGACTTCTAAAATCATAATCAATGAAAATCATTATCACCTAGAAATCACCAATATCTATCAATAGTTTGAGTTTCCTACAACAGTAACTGTATACAGTGTGCAACAGCCTTAAGCTCTTAACAAAATCTCGAGAACTGCGCCATCTTTTTGGTCCATAAGTACGGAATAAAAACAAGTTGGCCACCGCTGACTGACAGCTAGAGACCACTGCACACTAGATAAAAATAACTCTAAATCTATAGTACGAATAATTAATACTATGTGATATGAACTAACTATTTGTCTTTTATGTCTGAAATCATCAACTACACCATATTAAAAAATAAGAAAACACATTAACAATATGGTGGTCGAACTATGCAAACTGTTATTGCACATGTCTTAATACGCCATACACAAACACTAGTAGATTATGAACATCGATAACACATGTCCAGTCCCAGTTAACGAAATTTTGTTTGAATTTAGGTCCGAGTTAAGCTGGGACTCATATGTTAGGAAGACATTTAACTAAAGTGACATTAGATTCACAGGACGAAACTGTCATTAGCTAAGCCTTTAATCTGAAGCTGTCAATTTTAAGCAGTTCGTTAGATCCATCGACTTACGTAACCTAGTAGCCTTCTATCAAAGTATATGAAAAGTACAAAGCACAGAAAAAATAGACTTTAAAATATCCTCTTGTCGTTAATAGTACAATTGATATGTTCCTAAATATGGTATCTTTATTTGCTCTCAGTTTCGTAGTTTCTGCTTAGATATTTTTAGTGAATTTAGAGTTATTAAATATTGACTTCAGTATTTAAATATTTACAAATACAAACTCAGTAACCAAACGTAGTCGAATCCATATGTACAAGTGAATCGAAACTAGTATACAATCACATATTCAAAACCTAATTAGAAAAGAAACGAAACTTTATTTAATGCAAACATGATACAAGCAATGAGCGAAATAAATAATAACATAACTCAACAAACCTTTTACAGTACTATGGGTGATAACACAATTAGTGCAAAAAATATACAGTACTATGCTTACTTCATCGTCTAACAATAAATAACCTACTTTATTTAAAAAACATTACGTCTAATGTCGTTGCAATTAAACATTTAAAAATTGCGCTAAAAACTTGTGTTACACACAAATCTTATTAACATTCACGTCAACTTCTTTAAGATATGTAATACTAATAATTACCTAGTTTAACTTTAGGGGAATCGCAGAATTACTATTTTGACATTACGTTGACAGTAACAAAAAAAAAATTAAATAATATCAACAATTAAAAAAATATTATTTAGAACATAACGCGTATGTTCGATAAACGAGATTCATCTTCTAGCAAACAAAAAAAATGGATACCTTAAGTACCTCCAACTAACAGTAACGTATTATGGACATACGGTATATGGAAAGGATATGTATCGGTTATGCTTAAGGGATCTGGAGCTTCATTTAGTGTTCGGAGTCTAACTTATTTAACTTATTTTCCCCAGCTCCATTGGAATTGTTGTCGCCATTTCGAATCGTCATACTACGGGACGACGAGAAACACAGTTTCATTATGAAAGGGAACTTTGTGCCTATAAAAACAAACCAATCGATTGAATTAGGGACTCGAAATCGACACACTTCGCTCCGACGCGCTCCAAAGATGTCTCAAATTACGCCGGCTATTACTCAAATCAAGTTATTATCATTCCAAATAGACGCTTAGTAAATATAGACTTATGCTAATTAACTTGTCCGAACACCGTCGTAACGATTACTGGGTCGTTAAACCGTCTATCTATATCGAGTCGCGATTTTTCCACTTTCGCACTAATTCCGCTCGTGCAGTATTTATGAAAATCATAACAACAAAACTGCAACTTTCTAGACGACGTTTTTTCGTTCGAAAAATGCTTTAATTAAGTCGATCTTGCATAACCGAGTGTTATTAATTATGGTCGTCTTTTTTGAAAAGGCCGCACATAATTCTCTAAATGCGGAAAGAATTCGGAATGCAATAAAGAAACAAACGGGTTTTTGTTGTCATTTATCTTCTCCGGTTGGTTTCTAAAGTTAATCATTGCAGTTGCAGAAAAAATACAACAAACGTTCTACTTTCTATTATTTTTTACGGAGGAAGTTTTATTGGGACGATGGTCACATAATTCATTTTTTTCGATGAGGATTAGCATGAGTTATATTCCAGTTCAACATTCAAATTTATACTAACGAGTTAATAAGCTTAAAACAAACGCCAGTTTTTAAATATATTTTTTTTTAGTAAACTTCATCAAAAAAAAAATAATTGGGTTAATTTAAAATTCACTGTGTTGCTTTGTGCAATTAAACTTCAGTCTAAAAAGTCACTTGTAGCAATGAATTTAAAAGAGAAAAAACGACATAATCGTGTGGTGTTTCAAATTAAGTTATTTCTCCCGTATGTACATGACCACTGGGAATTCACACATTCGAAAAATTATACAAAAATATTTTATGCCCGTTTAAAACTGTATCCAAACATTTTCTTCTCTACATCTGTGATGTCGATGCTAATAAATATTTATGGCTTGATTACATTTTCGAAATTTGATTTAATCCTTCAGCTTTCCGTTCAAAATTGTCATTAATTAGTGCATTAGATGATGGACAACTTTTGTGTACAAAAATTTCGAAAATTCTGTCAAAATGACAAGATGTAATTGCCGTCAACCGAAGACAAATTACACTTATCCAACCTACATGTGAGCAAATCATTAACTTTTTCGCTACCTCGGGCGACGGTGTGGTGACCATAAAAGTTGAAAATTTATAGCATCGTCCGCAACTTGTAAATTATCATTTTTAAGGCTGGTTTTCGATTTTTAATCGTTTCGTGCACATGTTCGGACGCAACTAATAAATGCTAAGAACGGAGATTTTTTTTTACTGAAATCTGGGTTTCACATCCCGAATCGGCGAATATCTATGTGACGTCATGCAAGGATCGATTTATTTTGTCACTATTGTTTTTAAATAAAATCAAATCAAGTAAACCTGGAAATTAAAAAGAAGATATTTTACACAATTATACAGGATGTCTCACAAAACACACACTAAACTTTTTTCAACTATGCAGAGTATTCTGTTTTTAGGACGTGGCACCCAACTTAGGTACGCACTTTGTTCTGACATCAATTAAATCAGATCTTAATGTGCAGAGTGTCCATGAAAAAATCTAAAACGTTACAATTTTCAGTACCGATATTTCAGTTTTTTTAAATAGAACGCAGTGTTTTATTATTGGATCTTACTCTATTTTATGTTACACAGAATATTGTAACACAGATTTTAAAAAATGAGCATAGTGCGAAAATATTTCAAGAAAATTGGAGTAACGTGACAACGTTAATTTGAATATGTAAAAATATGTATGTGTCCCATTAGAAGAAACTAAGTTGCTTGTTACGTGTTAAAAAAAGAACACTCAGTATAGTTTAATATATTTTGGAAATATCCACGAGCGCGCGCTTGGTGTCTCACCCTGTATATTTTCCTTAAACTTGTACTATGAATGAGATAAAAATTTCACATTATGTAAAACTGAATTTTATTAAAAAAATTGAGAGAGAGAGAGTTATGCATTTTTTTAAAGAAAATTCGTAAGAGGTGTACATTTATTTTTGAACAATTACATTGTAAATATTAAAAATATTTTTCAGTGTTAAGATTTTACAATTATTTAAACCATAACTACGTATTTGCATTCTTAGTATTCACTTGAACAATTCATATACAGGGTGACTCACTTGCGCGTTTCTCGATATCTCATTATTACAAATAGAAAAAAAAGTCAAAAATCGAAGTTGTTTGAGGACCATAGCTTAAAATTATTTTTAACTAAACAGATCGTTTTGTTTTTAAGGCGTAACACCACTTTCTTTTTTTTTTAAGAAACACCTATACCGAGTGTCTAGAAAACGGCGGATTAACTCTCCGCTACGCTCTTAACAATTATTTATAGGTCCCCTGGTGTCTTGTTACTGGATGAAATCTTTTGAGCTTTCAGTGTTTTATTTTTCATGGATTTGAAAAAGTCGTGAGTGCCGCAGTGTTTTTCTTTTTAATTCCGGAGACTCCTGGGTACCCACGGTGTATTATTTTGGGAGCCCCTAGAGATTTTTTTTCTAAATTATTTAAAACATTTTTGGAGGACTTTGCTGTTCTATTTTTGCAAAATTCTGACCTATTTTTGAGTTAATTTTGGCACCTCGTTTTTTTTTTTTGAAAATTTAAAACAATCTTGAAGCTCTAGGTACTTCTGTTTGGAAAGAATTTGGAGCCTCTAGGGTCTTTTTTTATAATAATTTAAATACATTTCTTAGACGATAGGTACGTCATTTGCCAAAATCGGTCTTGTCTTAGCAGATATTAGCCCCAGCCGACTGCCCTCTCTTTTCGTAGAGGATCTCCCATTTGCCAAAATCGGTCTTATTTTAAAAGGTACTTGCCCCGCCCACCCACCCTTTCTTTTCTTAGAAGGTATGTCATTTGCCAAAATCAGTTTTATCTTAGCAGGTACTAGCCCCGCCCACCCACCCTCTCTTTTCTTGGAGGGTATGTCATCTGCCAAAATCGTTTTTTTTTGGTTTATTTATTCATAGAGAATTTTTTTTATTATTTTTTGGGGACTCTCGAAACTCCTGTACATAACGTACGGAGTTAATCCACCAATTTTCAGACACCCGGTACATTTTTGCACATTTTGCTTGACCTCTTCTTGGACTTTAGGGCTATAGTTTATTTGTGAGATTCCAATGCGACGTTGCCACGTTATTCCAATTTTCTTGAAATTTTGTGGTATTGAAAGTGCTCACAAAAATATTGCAATAGTAGTAGTATTATTTCTAAAATATGTGTTACAATGTTTTCTGGAAATATAAACAGTGTATGTTATAGCATAAATAAAATTAATTAAGTCTTCAAATACAGGGTGTTTATAAAAAAAATAATTATTACAGTTTTCAAACATCGATATTGAAGTTTTTTTACTTTTGTCAGAGACACATCGCCCTAGTGGAAGAAAGAACAAAAAATAAAGGAAGATACAGTAATAAAATACCGGGTGTTCTATTTGAAAAACTGAAATGTCAATATGTACTGGGAAATTGTAAAGTTTAATTTTTGTTTATAAACACTCTGTACATTAAAATTCGATTTAATTGATACTACAATAAATCGCGTACCTTTATTTATTAGTCCGTAAAATATTGTATGACAGATTTTAAAAATAACCCTATTGCGATTTTTTTCCATTGTCAGAAAATTTCAAGAAAATTGGAATAACGTGGCAATATCGCATCGAAATTTCAACAATAAATTGTAGTTGTAAAGACTAGGAGAGGGCTAATAGGAATATGTAAAAATATATAGGGTGTTTCATTAAAAAAAAAACAAGTTTCGTGTTACCCTCTAAAATTAGAACATCATGTATAATTAAAAATACTATTGTATAGTGCTCGAAAAATCTCACAACTTTTTTTTTTAATGAGAAGTCTAGGAGCATGCGCTTAGTGACTCATCCTGTATATAAAAAAAATGAGAAATTTTCACAAAGTTTAGTATGATTTAGAAAATAATACATATAATTGTGTATGGAATTATTTTTTTCGCCACTATATAAACAATTAATTATGGAAACTGGCATATCTTTTATATAGGGTGTTTCAGATAAAATTCCGCGGCTTAATATCTTGAATGGACATACTGAAATTCTGTAAACATCATCGTGTTTGGCCTGAAGGGGGAAGCTTAATTTCGTACATTGTAAATATGATGTATAGTTTTGGAAATTTCATTGTACCCTATAAAATTCTATTGACAATAACGAGACGGACAGTAGTACAATGGTAAGAAATATTTATGGCTCACACCAGTCCATCTGGGAATTGCCCAACGATAAATTTAAGTTGTAAATCTCTTGCTATTGCACTACTGTTCGCCTCGTTATTGTCAATAAAATTTCATAGGGTAGAAAGAAATTTCCAAAACTATATACAGTTGTTAATAAATTGCAACGTATATTTTTACGTATTTTGGTAGATCATTAAATTACGATTACAATGATGTAAAACACTTTGGTGTTATTTAATTTTCAGTCGATAAAAAAGTTATAAATACAGGATGATTAAAAAATAGTCCACTAACTCTATGACACCTTGTTAGGGACTGTTTATTGAGCAAAGAAAAAATAATTTAATAAAACCCTTGGGCTAAATGTAGAAGACAAATGCCTTCAAAGTTTTTTTTTTCACCACTTGGTGTTGGATACATGAAATCGATCGAACTTTCAGGGTTAATTTTTTAGATTTTTTTTATTTATCTATCTAAATCGATATTGTTTTTGTCAAAGCTGCAATATGTTAAAGATAAAAAAATGTTTGTCTACTAGACAAACACATGGAGTTAAAAAACTAAATAGTTAATGGAAAACAATTCTTAAAATCGATGTTGATTGTATAGAACGTTTACTGTATTTTTTTTTTTAAATTTACGTTGTTTATAGAAACCATTATAAAAAATCACTGTTGAAATTTAAAACGCTTCACCCACCACAAAAATATCAAATTCGCGCACTTTAGCAAAAACCCTGTTTCTTTTTATTTTCCACACTTTACAAGCAATCCGGAAATTTTCAACAACTCTTAACACAAAGCACGACCGAATAACAGCCGACAAAAACCTAAAAATCGCATTGAACTCCCGCTCTTTACGACTTTACGCCATCTCAGCGCCCAAAATCGAGCACGAAGTGCAAATTCCCTTTTAAATAACTGAAACCCCACAAATCAAATTCGAACGCGATTTATCAAAACTTCGCGATTTCTTTTCCGCTTTGGCGCATCGAGAGGATGTAAAATTACTCATGACCACTTTATCAATGGAGCGAAATTATCGCGTTCACGCCTCCAGAAAAGCCCAATTTGAGACATCTGATTCGCTTTATCGAGCGACGCGTCGACTGAAATGAAATGTGTCGTGGCATTTTCTACGACGAAAATCCGATCGGATTGTTACCTGGACTTTCGATGGCGGCATGGTTACACGCCATCACGGCAGCCACTGCCTCTGTGGTGTCTTCGAATTCAAGGAGGCCCGAACTCGACCGTTCAGATTTCATAGGAAAAAGCTTCACAGCTTTGGGAGGAACGACGTCGTAGTCTTGAAACACCTGGACTAGTTCCGTTTCCGTCACTTGGGGCGGCGTGTTGAAGAAATGCAGGATCTGCAAGGGGAAGCGAAATGAAAAAAAAATTATGACTTAAATAATCACACAATAATTGATTACTAATTAAATAAACAGAAAACTGCTGAAAGTTGTAAGTACGTTGATTAAGAGCTTCGTGCCCTAGACAAATTTAATTTTTCATCCGTTTATATCTCATTTAAGCATCGAGTTTTCACCACAATAAAATGGATTATAAGCGAATTCCGGAACTAGGAATAAAGTCGGCGGTTGTTTACGCCAAAGTATCGAAATACGACGTCTTGTTTTCGGTAAACTGAATTATGTGATCATTATTCCTAAACTTACTTCCGACAAATTGCTTTAGTTTGACAGACAGTTTTCATAAAGTTTGATCTTATCCTAAGGCATCGCAAAAAGCTGTCAAAAATTTCTCACAAAAACCACATTCTATGTGTTTGAACTACGGGTGTTTGCCCTTCTGTAATAAAATGTAATAAACTTCAGTTCTGGTTTTTTTTAAAAGACCTATACCTACAGAATTTAACAATGTACACTGATAATAATACTCTATTTTCCATTGGTTATTTATTTTTAATATAATTCATATTGTCCGCATATTTAAGGACGGCACTTCCTTGGAATTCGTGGTTCGAGGTATCATTTACACCAAAGAAGCGGTTTTCTTTAGCTGTACTTCAAGAGCGAGGGAAGTTGAAAAATTGAAATATTATTTAAAATTGAAAATTAGAAAAGTCGCTGATCTAAAAATAGAAGAAACGAAAATCTGGACAATCGAAAAATTATAATCGAGAAAACAAAACCTGGAAAAGTGAAAAATCAAAAATTCGAAAAATTAAAAAATCGAAAAATTTCTTATCGAAAAATGGTAACACCGATACATCGAAAAAGTGAAGGAACACGAAGTTGAAAAACCGAGAATTACAAAAAATAAAAAACCGAAAAAGTGAGGAAACAAAAAGTTGAAAAATCAAGAAACTTCGAAAAACGAAAATTTAAAACAGCTAAAAATTGTAAATCAAAAAACAGAATATCTGAAAAATCAGAAAAAGTGGAAACTCAAAAATCGAGAAATTGAAAAATTAGGTGATTGAAAATTAATAAAAATTTGAAAACCGAAAATTCTAAGAATTGAAAAATTGTGAAACTAAAAAATCAAAATTTAAAAAATCGAAAATAAAACATCAAAAAATTGAAAAATTCAAAAATTAAAAATCGAAAAATTTTAAAATAGAAATAAGAAAAATTCCCAATCCAAAAATTTAAGAAAAATTTGCAAAGTTGATAAACTGAAATATTTGAAATTGAAAATTAAAAAAGTTGCTAATCGAAAAATATGTAGAAGAAACGAAAAATTGGAAAATCGAAAAATGATATTCAATCGAGAAAACAAAAATCGGAAAACTGAAGAACCTAAAATTGTTAAAATTGAAAATGGTAGAAACATCGAAAATTTTAAAAATTCAAAAAATAAAAAATCGAAGAAGTGAGGGAACTAAAAGTTGAAAAATCGAGAAACATCGAAAAAACGAAAATTTAAAACCGCTAAAAATTGTAAATCAAAAAACAGAATATCTGAAAAATCAGAAAAATTGGAAACTTTTGAGTCTCTCGACTTTTGAATCGAGAAATTGAAACATCCATAAATGGCAACACTGTAAAATTTGGTTATAGAAAAATTTTACAACCGAAAATTCGAAAAACTGCAAATTGAAGAATGGGTTAATTGACAATTTGAAACATTAAATCGAAAAATTGAAAAATTGTGAAACTAAAAAATCAAAATTTAACAAATCGAAAATAAAACATCAAAAAATTGAAAAATTCAAACATTAAACATCGAGAAATTTTAAAATAGAAATAAGAAAAATTCCCAATCCAAAAATTTAAGAAAAATTTGCGAAGTTGATAAACTGAAATATTTGAAATTGAAAATTAGGAAAGTTGCTAATCGAAAAATATGTAGAAGAAACGAAAAATTGGAAAATCTAAAAATGATATTCAATCGAGAAAACAAAAATCGGAAAACTGAAGAACCTAAAATTGTTAAAATTGAAAATTTTAAAAGTTAAAAAATCGAAAAATTTAAAAATAAAATCCAGAAACATTTCTAATCTATGATGGTAGAAACATCGAGAATTTTAAAAATTCAAAAAATAAAAAATCGAAAAAGTGAGGGAACTAAAAGTTGAAAAATCGAGAAACATCGAAAAAACGGAAATTTAAAACATCTGAAAATTGTAAATCAAAAAATAGAATAATTGAAGAATCGGAAAAATTGGAAATTCAAAAATCGAGAAATTGAAACATCGAAAAACTGCAAATTGAAGAATAGATTAATTTAAAATTTGAAAAATTAAATCCAAACATAAAAAATCAGGCTATTGAAAATTGCAAAAATTAGAAAATCGAGAACTCTAAAAATTAAAAAACTCAAAAATTAAAATTCCAAAAGTTTAATTATGGAAATAAAAAAAAATGGAAAATTATAATCGAGAAAACAAAAATCAAACTGAAAATGGTGAATTTTTGTTGGAAAATATTGATTTTACCATTAAGCTCCGCCCTTCGCTCTAACAACGAATGAAAAATTCATCACATTTGAGGGTGGGGCTTCTTTTTTGACTTTTTTTCTTGACATGTAGTTTTCTTTCAACAACATGATACTTAAAAACATGTTTCATGTGGTAGATTCTTGTCGAGAAATAAGTATTTTGCAATTAAGCTCCGCCCCTCGGCTTACGACCAATGAAAAAGTCATTACAATTGAGATGAGGGCGTGTGGGCGGGGTTTGTATTTTGTTTTTTTTTCCTAATAATATGTACGTAGTTTTTTTTTCATGACAAAAAACTAAAAAGTATGCTTAAAAATAGTAAATTTGTAAGGAATTGTGGGGGATAAAATTTACCATTCAACATGTTTTCAGTCTCTTCTTGTGAAGAGAAAACTATATGTATTAAGAAAAAAAAAATGCAAAACATAAGTGTCGAAGTAACCTTGGACCAATTTTTTCAGATGACCATAATATTAATAACGTAAGCAGAATAATGATAGCCAACAGATTTGTCTCAGAAGTGTCAAAGTTAAGGAATCAAGCCCTCTAAAACATACATTTTTAAATTTTTACCATTTTCCTCCCATTTTTTTTTAATGTAAAGTAAAAAAAAGTACACTCATTAAATATTTACAAAATTTCAAAGCTGGTAAAAAATATAGCCGATTCTATTTAAACAGTATATTTTGACAGCAAATTAATGGAATGGAAATTAAATGTGTCGGAAATAGGCGATAAAATAATAATAAATCGATCACTATACAGGGTGAGTCACTAAGAGTGCATTAGAAATAAAAAAATACTAAGATTAAGTTTGTACAGTTCTTCAAGCACCATATCCCAAAATTATGTTCAATTATACAGTATTCTGTTTTTAAGACACAACACACAACTGAGTTTTTTCAAATGGAATATTCATTTTTATATATACTGACTGAGCTCTTCTTAGGCTTTATAACATAGTTTATTTTCGAAATACAAATGCAACCTTGCCAAGTTATTCTAATTTTCTCGAAATTTTTTTGTAAACATTCTGTATTTTAAAATTTAAAAATCTCTCTAAAATATTGCAAAATAGATGTTAAAAATAACGTCATTGCGATTTTTTTGCGAACCTTTGCATTGCTAAAAAATTCAAAGAAATTGGAAAAACGTGGCAACGTTGCATCGGAATTCAAAAAGTATACTCGGTTATAAAACCTAGGAAGAGGCGTACAAATATATGTGGTACGCCTTAAAAAGAAAATACTCTGTACAGTCGAAAGTAATTTTCATGTATGCTAGTCAAAGAGCCGTATACTAAACTCACTTGACATACACCCTGCAAAACTTTTATGACTTAAGCGGCTTAAGCCAAAGCACCCTTATAACTCAAACTAAATAAAACTTTACAGGTCCATTATGGCAACAATTAAAAAGCTTACAATAGCCAGTTTGACTTATAAGTAAGGCTGCTTTGGCTTAAGCGACTTAAGTCATAAAGGTTTTACAAGGTGTATGTCAAGTGAGTTTAGTATACAACTTTAGTCGCTGACTTGATTTCTACCTCTAATAATAATTAATGAGATATAGGAGATTGCACTAGTTTTAATATACAGAGTGTCAATAAAAAATATTTGATAACAATTTTCAGTTATCAATATTTCAGGCTTCTCAAATAGAACACCTTGTATTTTATTACTTATCTTATTGTGCTTTTCTTCTCTTTCTTTTTGTTAAAAATTTTCTATATTTAGGATTGATAGTTGCTGAAATTTTTTACGTTTTTAAGGGACATATCCACATATTGCAAGAACGAAAACAAAAAAATTGAGTAAAATATAGGCTGTTCTGTAAAACAGGTTTAAATATAACGTATTCTGTTTGAAAAAAGTTTGAAAAATCTGAGATATCGATACATGAAAATTGTAAAGTTTTTTTGTTATAAACTGTATGTTAAAACTTCATCATAACAAAGCGCGTATTGTCTTCCCAGTTTAAAGTGGTTTTTATGATAGGTCCATTTTGTTGAAGTTGATGATGAGGACAATAGAGTAAATCCCTAGCCATACATAAGAAAGTGGTCGGTTTCTTGCAGGGCCGTACTTTGTTATTCAACTCATATTGTCCGTGGCGGGATAAATTAAAAAAAGTCCAGTAACTACAGTTGCGTAAAATCGATAATAATTGCGTCACTTTTGCGAAAGTTTGACTGTATTTCAATTTATGAAAATGATCGAAACTTTGGCATTTTTTTTTTTAATATGACAATTAATTTCAAACCTTACCGTTATGAACTCTTGGTCAAAATTCGGCTTTTAGCAGTGTTTTCTCCAAATATCAATAAGATTTTTTATTTATTTTTATGCCAGTAAAAGTTAAATTTTCGTTACTTGCTGTGACAAGAACTTTCATTTTCACACAGTTTAGTTTAATAATAAAAAAGTAGGTAACGGAATTTACTTTATAGAGTCGGCGGGTTGA